TAAGATAAGAACAATAGAATAAGATAAGAACAAGCAAGATGATCTAATCTAATCTGGCGRTGGGTCARGTTCCTGTTGCTGCYGGYGGCRATGGTACGTCTTTCCGAGGAATGCGTCCATAACAGATGCTCAGATGATCTGTAGTTTCAGGCACTAGGCCACGGAGGCCTCTTTCAACCTCAGTGCATTTTATTATTCCTTTACCCATCATTGAACCCCTATGTATATCAATAGACCAGCCTCTGTTTCACCTTTTTTTCTTGCCATGTTTAAGACTGGCATCCATAATAAGGGAGATATTGAGGAAGATGTCATCCGTAGAATCAGAGCTGGATGAGCAAACTAGAGGGGTCTGGAGTGTATCTTGAGTCCTATGTGATTGGAGAATACCACTTAGGGTAAAAGGAAAATATTATAAAATGGAAATAAGGCCAGCAATTTTATGGATGTCACCCACAGGATCGGAAATGTGCATATTTATAGGAATTTCACAGTAGCTTCAATCTATGATACCCATATACCTGTACAGCAGTGCTGTATAATGTCAGATGCTTCAAATTTAGTGTAAATTCTGTATCTGTTACTTTGTCCAGGTGCATCCTTGTTGTATCCAGCCCTAGTTGGTGATGAAATGAGGGAAAGTAGACTAAGGTGGTTTGGTCAAATGCAGAGAAAACCATCTATAACACCAGTTAGAATTGATTTATTGCAGATTGAAGGGTCTAGAATACATAGGGGCAGGCCAAAAGGAGATAGGTTGAAGTAGTGAAAATTAATTTGAGGGCCCCATAGCACTGAACAGAGTAGAATGGTAGAATGGGATTCATGTAGCCAACCTTTTATTCTTGGGATAATGCTTAGTTGAGTCTGAGTTGTGGACTGGTATGAAGAACAGTATCACATGTTACATTTCATCTTTTAAGTCCTCATGTTCCTATCTTTATCTATCCTTTTTAACCCTGAATCCTTTCTACAGGCCTAGAAGTCATTCCTTACCCCATCATCCATTATTTCCTGCCAGGTAACCCCTATTTTTAAACGTGTAACAATCTCAAAATTTCCCTAGAATTTATGAGACACTGCACTATTTGCTATTCATTATTACAGTGGTTGTGAAGTAGATTCAGTTTCTGTCATCATTCTGTATACCATGTAATTATGCCATGATTTTCTGTTTCTTGGCTCCATTTCTTCGAATGGCTCTACTTCTCTGGCAGATCTGGGACTTGCAGTAGGAATGGTCTTGGTTGTTGCTTCTGTTGCTTGGGGGCCAGAATTCAGGAATATTATGCGTTTGCATTCCATGAAAAAATGGAAGCTGAGAGAACCCTCAGGCAGGAGGCCAACAGTCAAATATCTGTTACTCGGCTCCACTCCTGCATCCAAGTATCAAGAACACTCTTTATATACTGTATTGATGAACTAATTTACCATTTATTTTTCTAACAGTTCAAATCTTGCACCATGGAGGCAAGTTCATTGGTCAAGTAAAGGGTTGAGTTCCTAATTTGCTTGCTTTGCATAATTCATAGGACTACAGCTTGTTTTGAATTATATGAAGGAAAATAAAATAAGTTTCATCATTTGTGTGCATCTTATTGTTTTTCCTTGACATGGTAGGTAGGACGAACTGTATACAACTGGTTATGCTACCAAAAGGAGAATGGCCAAAATGGTGAACTGTTTACATAATGTGTTATTGTGTTTGTGTGATATATATTTTTTTTCCCATTTCATGGATCAATGTCATCAATGATCTCCACTTCCCTGGCAGGTGCAAGACTTGTGGTGGGAGTGGCCTTGGTTACTGCAGCCGTTGCTTGGGGACAGGAGAACATAGGGGTATAATGGGTTTTCGTTTCATGAAGATGGATGCTCAGGGGACGCAACAAGGCAAAGAGAATCCCCAATAAACTGTAAACAGGGATGCTATTAGTAGCAGATTAACCCCATTCTTTCCCAGTTCATTTTTTCCTTTTTTTCCCTCTATGTACACGTGCTTCCAACCTGTAGGGTGTCCTTGATGTTCATAAGAACAAATGAACAATGGAGCTTTACAGAAACGATGTGAAAGGAAAAAAGTAAGTTACATCTTAGATTGGTTCTGGTTATTACCTTATTATATGATTGATCTGTTACGGCGTCTCACATCTGGATTATCATTACCTTATGGCTTAGGACTTGCTAGCATGATTCTATAATTTGAATCATGCCTAGGACTTGCTACTTCTGATTCTCTCTCTGATTCTTGCACTCTGGTATCAAGGCCTACCAAGTCACATGGCTACATCCTGGTCTCGTGCTGCATCTCTTGATGCAGCTCGTCTTATACTGCACTTCCCCTGGAATGTAATGTCCGGATGATTTTGATATATGGGAAATGCAATGTGGGTACAGTTTGGATAGCTACTCAAATCTCTCTCTTGTGCTGCTGTTCCTTGGGACATGCTCCATCTCCTTGCTCTCCAAAGCAAGTACTTTGTGATTTATTGGAGAGGATTATCCGTCTGTATCCATAGTTTGGGTTGTAGTTTAATATAACCCTCTTTGTTGCTTCACAAATCACAATAGAAAGTTCTATGAAGAATTTATCCTGATAAAAATCCCTAGAACGTAAGACTTTCAAGATGTTTGTATATTACATTTCAGTTATCAGTTTCACTGTGGTCCAATAACCAAAATGATACTCAAAATAATGGCTCAACCACATTCGATACTTGACAGTTGACATAATCTAAAAGAAGAATTGTCTTATAAGACCACATACGATGAACCACAGTGCCAAGCTTCTTGACACCCTTTTAAGTTTCCCTTTGTTGGGTATGGAATGCCCTTTCAAGGGCTAAATTCCCACTTTATTTGGTAAGTTCTTCATTGCCCTCAAAAGCTTCAACATATTTTGTCCTTTTAGTGTGTTTCTCTTACTTCGTTGCCAACTAGTCAGCAACCTCAACACGGAGATGATGTTCCATCCCAAGAAAAAGCCAACAAGGCAAGAAGTCGAGTGATAAACAAGAGTTGTAAAATTCGTCTCAGGCAACGTTTTAATTGGCTTGGAACCCATCGTCTAATGGTATTGGTGGATAACTAGCTATTCATCGGCAAGTCATATGGGGGCCCAGAGTTTGACACCCATCAACGTCCCCAGATTTCTCAACATCACAGACAGACACCCCATCCCCACTATCAAAATTTTAGGACTTCCCACATCGTGCTTTGTTGGCAAGTTGCAGTTATCAGTCTGGATGAACTGGAGACAAAAGCATAAACACCCGGCTGAACTACCTATCACGGTTAAATGCGCTAATGCTCACCGTGGGTTTCATCTGGGACCCTGCTGTACTGAACACTGGTGTGCTCAACCGTGATAGATAGTTCAGCCGGGTGTGTATGTTTTTGTCTTCAGCTAATCCACTACCTGCAGTTATAGGGTTGTACCCGTCAACAATGTATGGTACGGCCGGGTCAGACCGGAACAAACAAGAGAACGCCTTGCCCTTGTCTTTGTGTTTTTACATATTCCAATTGAGTGGCGTGTGAGTTGTGACTCAACAAAAAGGTGTGGGTATCTACTGCGACTACATGCGTATATAAAATTACACGTGGGATGGATGGGATGATGGGAGCGAGTTCCACATCATTGTTTTTAGAACTGAACCGGTCAGGGCACCGTTTTCTGGTTTGGAGGTTCAACCGTTTGGGTTGAACAGTTCGACCAGTGACATCATAAATAAATAAATACTTATATATAATAAAAATACCATAGAAATTTAAATAAAATACAAAAAATACACAGAAAAATACAGGAAAAAGAACAATACATGAAAATAATAAAAATAATAAAATACAGAAAATACAAAAAAAAATACAGAAAAAAATCCAAAAAATATAGAAAAATTCTAAAAAATTCCAACTGTAGTACTTAGATCCTTTGGCCTACCTGAAGCATCCATGCCAAAAGGTATGTAGTCTAATAACCAAAAACCCAAGGCCCTAATGCAAAGCAACTTGGATCCATGTTGCCTTGGGGTGGTCTAATAATCTGTAGTTCTGTACAGATCTGTATTTCCAAAAGATCTGCAGTTCTGTACATTCTTCAATAAAGGGGTAGTCTAATAAATATTAGTAATATACTTATAGCTGCAACCAAACACCACAACCTACATATATATGGTCTTTAATGACAGAATTACTACTGACTAATTGTCAAGAACTCATTCAATAGATTTTGTATGTTCAAGAAGAGGGTTGAGCAACCACCTTGTCTCCTTTCTGCTTCAAATTTTGCAAAGAATTTCATCAATTCATCAGTCATTACAAACACGGGTTCTTCCTCTTCTTCTTCTTCTTCTTCTTCTTCTTCTTCTTCTTCTTCTTCTTCTTCTTCTATTTTTTCCATCAAGTCCTCTTCCCCTTACTTATTAGAAAATACCCATTATAACAGCTCAATGCACCTTACCATTAGTTAGATAAATAAAATTTTTAATTAACAGAAAAAAGCTATAAACTTATAATTGAGAAACAAAATCATTCCTTGAGAAATACCCATTATAACAGCTCAATACACCTTACCATTAGCTATTTCAGGCTTTTAGCTTATACTTTCTTTGAGTTTTTGACAAACCCTTTTAATTTGTATTCCAAATATACAAAGAAAAAGGTAAGAAAAACTTCTACCAGGCCATAAGCAATGCATACTATAAAAGGAGTACTTTCTTTCACTTTATGGAAAGGGACCCCTTTAGATGGTCAAGTCTTTCAGAGTTTCCTCTGGACTTCTCGTTCAAAAACACAAGAAGACAAGAAAAGAAATTTTGCAAAAGATTCTATTCATATTGCTATAATATCGTGCATTCTTAATTCATCAAACATAATACTTAGATACTCAAAAATAAAAAGATCATAAACACAAGTAACAAAAAGATCAAAATCCAAATTCACCAAGAATTAAACACAAATCAAAACTTCAAGTTCAACATAGAGTTTGGTTCACTAATCTAATCATCAAAATTCTCTAGATATGTTGGTCCCACTTCTCAATGATACCAACTACCAACCAAAGCCAAGTGGTATTTCACCATCATCTTCATCTTCATCTTCGGGAGGTTGTGTTTCATCTACATCTCCAACAGATAT